GATTAACAGTTACATTTGAGATCTAATAATAAACAAGTGGATAGATCATAATAAAATTTGAGTTCCACAAATAGATGGCTGGACATAGTAGACAAGGCTAGGTCAGGACTAATAAAGTCAGGAGTCATTGCCATATGGATGGTATTTATTTATTTATTTATTTATTTATTTATTTATTTATTTATTTATTTATTTATGTTTTAATCCTCACCCAAGGATATTTTTCCATTTTTCTTCAGATAGAGTGGGAGGGAGGGAGAGAGAGAAAGAGACAGAGACAGAGAGGGAGAAAGAAAGAAACATCAATGTGAGAGAGACACATCAACCAGTTGCCTCCCCGCACTACCCCGACCAGGACCGGGGACGAACCGTAACCGAGGTACATGCCCTTGACCGGAATCGAACCTGCAACTCTTTGGTCAATGGGCTGATGTTATAGCCACTGAGCCAGCCAGGGCCATATGGATGGTATTTAAAGCTAGCTATAGGACTGGATGAGAACCAGTGGAAAGAAGGGCCCCACGAGCGAAGCCCTGAGGCTCCTGGACATCCAAAAGTGGAGCAGAGGAGGAGAACCCAGCAGAGACTGAGAAGTGGCCAGAGAGGGGGAAGAAAGCCATGGAGCGTAGTGTTATAGAACCTAAGATAATACTTGGTTTCAAGAAGGATGTGGCTGTCTGTGTTGAATGCAGCTGAGAGGTCACATGAGATGAGAACAGAGAAATGACTGCTGGGTTTGCTAATATCAAAAGTCAACTGGTGACCTTGACAAGGGCAGTTTCTGTGGCATAGTTAGGATGGAAGCCAGCGTGTATTGGGTTAAGAGAAAGCCTGAAATAGGAATTGGAGATAGTGACAGCCTTTTCCAGAAGTTTCTCTTAACAGGAGCAGAGAAATGGGCTAGTAGGTGGAGGGTGATGTGGATCAAGGAAAGGTTTAATCCTTTTAGTGATAAAGAATACTACCTGAATCTTAGCTAATGCTTATTGTGTTCAATCTCATCTCATCTTCACAATGGTTTTAAGGAAGATATTTTGGTCATTTTATAGATGAAGCTTACTTAACTTGTCTGAGGTCATGACTATACTAAGTGGTAGAGCTGGGATTTGGACCCAGCTAGAATGTGCTTATGTACTGGACTCTCAGTGAGAAGTGGCAGGTGCCAGACTGGAGGGAGGTGGGTCAGAGTTAAGTGGCAGAGTTGCTAGGAACTGGTAATGATGGGGGAATAACGTTGGTGAAGAAAAGGGAGACACGGTACCTGGTAGGAGGTAGGAACATGAGCCAAATGTAAAATACAGACAGTAAAGCAAATTTGGGTTGGGGGACAAGCTCAGTTTTGGTTAAGATGAGTTTGAGGTGCCTGGGGCTATTCAGATGGCCATAGTTAGCAGGGTGAGAAAGGGGAGGGCTGGAGGCTCAGATTTGAGTCTGCATGGTAAAGGCCCCAGTAGCCCATAGGTGAGGATGAAAATACCCGGAGAGCATTACATTTTCCTTGAGAAAGTAATAAGGATGGGGCCCTGGGACTGGTAGAGCATGAGGAGTTAAGGAAGGCAGCTGCTGAGGCTGCAGAGATCAGCCAGTGAGGTCCAGGAGAGCAGCCTGTGGACCCAAACAGAGAACTGTTGGGCATGTTTACCTCCTTCCCCCTATCTTCCTAGTGTCTGCTGGGCACTCACTCAGAGCAGCCCAAGGTCCCGGTACAAGGATACAGTGGTGAATAGGATCATTGTTCCTGCCCTTTTAAGGGAGTCAGACCCCAAACTGTCACATATATAAATAAACCAGATGATTTCCCATGTTGGTGACTGCTTTGAAAGAAACAGTGTTGTGCCCAGCCAGTGTGGCTCAGTGGTTGAGCGTTGACCCATGCACCAGGAAGTTGAGGGTTCAATTCCCAGTCAGGAAAAAAAGTTTTTTTTAAAGAAATGGTGTTGTGGTGAAGATATTAATGGAGGCAGGGCTGGGTCTGGCTATTTTATTTTATTTTAATATATATATTTTTCTTTTTCTTTTATTGGTTTTAGAGAGAGAAGAAGGGAGAGGGAGAGAGAGATAGAAACATCAACGAGAGAGAACATTGATTGGCCGCCTCCTGCATGCCCCCCACTGGGGATTTGACCTACATCCTGGGCATGTGCCCTGACTGGGAATAAAACCAGTGACCTCGTGGTGCATGGCTTGATGCTCAACCACTGAGCTATACCAGCCGGGCAAGGGTCTGGCTATTTTAAACTGGGTAGCCTGGAAAGGCCTCTCAGATGAGTTGAGACTTGATTGACAGAAGATGCCAGGCAGGGCAGAGTGTTCTAGAAGAGGGAAGAATAGTACAAAGCCTGGCAGAGACCAGGAACTTAGTTCTCAGTAGGAACAGAAAGAAGGCCACAGTGGGCGGAGTCTTGTGAATTGGAAGAGTGTGTGAAATTAGATTGCGGAGACAGATGGGGTGGTGGTGGTGGAGGACCTGGGAAGCCACTTGAGGTCCTGCTGTATCATTTTATTATTTATCTTATTTGCAATTTCCTATTATCCTAGCTCTAGATTTTTTTGGTAATGGCTTTATTGAGACAAAGCTGTTCTCATATACCATACAATTCACCCATTTAAAGTGTATGATTAAATGTGTTTTTATTATATGTATACAGTTGAGCAACCATCACTACAGTAATTTTAGAACATTTTCATCCCCTCAAAAAGAAAGCCTGTACCCGTTAGCCATTATCCCTTTTCTCTGATCCCTCCCCCCACTAGCTCTAAGTAACCACTAATATACTTTCTGTCTCTTTATATTTGTTTGGACATTTCATTGAAATCATATGCTATGTTGTCCTTTATGTCTGAAAGCACTTAGCATAATATTTTCACAATTCGTATCATTTTAAAAATAATTTTTCTTTATTGATTTAAGAGAAAGAGAAAGGGAGAAGGAGAGAGATAAAGACATCAGTGAGAGAGAACATCCACTGGCCGCCTCCTGCATGCCCCCCTTTGGGGATAGGGCCCACATCCTGGGCATGTGCCATGACCCAGAATCGAACTGGCGACTTCTTGGTGCATGGGTTGACGCTCAACTGTTGAGCCACACCAGCCGGGCTCATTTTGTTTTTTAATTTTTTAATTTTTTGTTTTTTAATTTTAATAATCCAAGTAACATGTGATTCAAGTAATGTATGTATACATTCTCAAAGTAAAAGAGGCAAACACTATACACATATAAAAGCCCCCACACTTCTCCTTCAGTCCTATTCTTCTCCCCAGAAGTGGCTGGTGACAGTTTGCTGTGTGGCTCTGGTCACATATGTTGATTTCTTTACATAACTTCCCATTACCCTATGGGCTCCATAGGCCATGGGACCTCCCTTGACCTGGGTCATCTATGTATCTTCTGGGTAACAAGGGCCTTAAAGGTTTATAAACTCAAAGGGTGTCTCAGGAATGTATGAAAGTGTTGTGAAGGGACTTTCCCCTACCTTTGAACATCCACATTCAGGTGTAGACGGGACGGTGAGTGGCTGGGAGGAGGCCAAAATCAACAGCTCCAACCCACTGCGCTATGATCGCCAGAGCGGGGGATTTATAGTCACACGAGCTGGGCTCTACTACCTGTACTGTCAGGTAAGCCTCACCTGGCTCCATGGGTAAAGCAGGAACTGAGGGAGAAGGGTTTGGTTTCGAGGGTGGGGGCAAGCTAAAGGTGGGGTGGGGTAGTTTGGGGTCTGGGCTGGAGAGGATATCTGGGTCTCTAAGGAAATGTGAAATTGAGATGAGGGCAAGCAGAGGCCTGGACTCGGCCACTCGCTCCCTGCCCCCAGGTGCACTTTGATGAGGGAAAGGCTGTCTACCTGAAGCTGGACTTGCTGGTGGATGACACCCTGGCCCTGCGATGCCTGGAAGAGTTCTCTGCCACCGCTGCGAGTTCCCTTGGGTCCCAGCTCCGTCTCTGCCATGTATCCGGGCTGTTACCCCTGCGGCCAGGGTCCTCCCTACGGATCCGCACCCTCCCCTGGGCCCAACTCAAGGCTGCCCCTTTCCTTACCTACTTTGGACTCTTCCAAGTTCACTGAGGGGCCCTGGTCTCACTGCGGTTTTCCCAGGCCGCTGGCTCCCCACAACAACTCTCTGAGCACCCCAGTCCCCTCTGCCCCACCCTGAGCTGCTCCTCCCTTCAGACTTGCCTCTCCCTGGGTAGGCTGCCAGGGCTTGTTCACGTGTTTTCCATGGCACACAAATATTCTCATTCATCTCTGACAACCCCTTCCCCCATCTCTGATCCTCCACCTCACTAGCTCCAGAACCCCTGATCTCTGACACCCTCATTTATCTTCTGACTCCCCACCCTGGCCACAACCCCCTGGGACACTGTGTTTACTATACTCTGGGTGAGGATGGGTTCCGGTACCCCTCTCAGGCACTAAGAGGGGCTGGAGACCAGAGAGACTGGGACTTGGCCAGGAGTTCCCGAATGTGAGGGCTGAGAGACCAAGACAACTCCTCCCTGAAAATTCCCTGTGGATTTTTAAAACAGATATTATTTTTATTATTATTATGACAAAATGTTGATAAGTGGAAATTAAAGAGAATAAGTCATGGTTGCTCTTCTTATTGGGGTTTAGGGGACCTTCTCAGGGTAGCCAAGAGCCCTGGTCTGGGCATTGGGGAGTGGGGTGCAGAACACCTGGAATTCCAGGGCAACACACAGACTTGGGAGTGGGGACCCACATGCCTCTGACCCCCAAGGTGTGAGCAGAGAGTGGAAAGGCAAACTGCTAAGCAAAAAAGTGAGTTCTCTGCCCAAGGTCCAGCAGAAGTGGCCTCATTTACCTGGGAGGCGGGCTTCCTCCTTTGGGTAATCCCTGGCTGGGAGAAACACAGGCCCTTCCTCTTGGCAGCCTCCGGGCATTCAGCAGGTGTTGGCACAAAGCCCTGACTGGGATGTTGGGTGGGAGCAGGCCTCAAGGGGGTTTCAGGGTCAGTAAGCAGGACATTTGGGCCCAGCAACATGGGAACCTCGACCCTAGGATCCAGGGGAGGGAATCCTACAATGGTACCGTGCTTAGAGCTGTCTTTTTCTCTTCATCCAGAGCCTTATGTAAGCTTTTCTCGGGAAACAGGAAGTCCTGTTTGCCAAGTTCAGCACAGGGAGTAGTGCAGGCCTTATTCCAACACACCCGGCCTGGCCTTAACCCCAGATCTCAGCCAGTTTCTTGCTTCAGAGATCCTGGTTCTCTGCACTGGCTCTCTCCCCTCCTTTCTTACCTTTAGTCATTCCTAGCAAACTTCCCCAGAGATCTCTCCTGGGCCTGAGCCAGAGGGTCTTCTACCCTCATCCCTTGACCCTCAACACTGCGGAGCTTGTCCCTTCATCCTTGCTCCTGGCACCATGCCCCACAGCCAGCCAACATCCCCTCCCCCACTTCTGGGGCCGCCCCAGGGTTCCTGTGCTTTGGCCGCTCCTCCTGGGTGTCACTGGCAGCCCCGTGCTTCCTAGAGAGACTGGCGCTAAATTCTCCTAAGGCTGGAGGAGGGTGGGGGTCTCAAGACAACACTGGCCCCACAGCCAAGTGCCAGGAGCACCAACAGTTACCCTAGCTTGCTTTCCTACTCCTTCCTTTTAATTCTCAAGTTCCTTTTTATTTCTCCCTTGCGTAACGCCCTTCTTCCCTTCTGCACCACTGCCTGCACCCCCACCCTCCCTGCTACCTCCTTGCCACCCACTCCTGAGGCCACAGCTGTTGGCAGGGCCCCCAGCTCATGCCAGCCTCATCTCCTTTTCTAGCCCCCACAGGGCCCCCAAGAGACATGGGGGGCCGGGTCCGAGAGCCGGCACTCTCAGTTGCCCTCTGGTTGAGTTGGGGGGCAGCTCTGGGGGCTGTGGCTTGTGCCATGGCTCTACTGACCCAACAAACAGAGCTGCAAATCCTAAGAAGAGAGGTGACCCGGCTGCAGATGACTAGAGGGCCCTCTGAAAAGGGGGAAGGGTATCCATGGCTGAGCCTCCAGGAGCAGGTGAGTGAGGGGGAAGGGTGTCTGGGAGAGAAGAATTGGTGGCAGGGTCGTCTCTGGCACTCTTGGTTCTAGCTTCCTGGTCTGCAAAGTTTCTAGTGGGTACAAGAGAGGGTCCCAGGTTTGGAGGTCAAAAGAGCAGCCATTCCAGGAAAGGAAATTGTTAAAGATTAATGCTTCTCGTACCTACCAGATCCTGGAGGACAGCCAGCACCAAGACAGGCTGCTAGGGAAAGGTGCATAAGAGATGTGAGGCATTCCTGGGGCAGGGGGAGGGCTGGGAAGAAAGGTTGTCTGGGACCCTTGCATCTTCACCTAACCCTGACTTTCTTCCCGTGCACAGAGCCCCGGCAGCCTGGAAGCCCTGGAGAATGGGGAGAGATCCCGGAGAAAGAGAGCAGTGCTCACCCATAAGCAGAAGAGTGAGACCTTCAGGGTGCAGATGGGTGGGAGGTGATCAAGTAGCATGAAGACTTGGAGACTGTTACCCCAAGTCAGGGTGAGGGTGGAGGGCTGACAACAGGGCAAGTGGGGTAGGTGAACATTGCTGAGATTTCCCCCTTCTTTCCTCAGAGAAGCACTCAGTTCTGCACCTTGTTCCCATTAACATTACCTCCAAGGGTGAGCACTATTTTAAATGGCTTTTGGGGGAAAGGTAAGGCCTGGGGACTTTGGGGCTGGTAATGGGGCCCAAGAGAATCTTAAAGGTGCAAAGTAAGAATGCACAGAAATCCTAACTGCCACACTCCTCACCTCCAGAGGATTCTGATGTGACAGAGGTGATGTGGCAACCAGCTCTTAAGCGTGGGAGAGGTCTGGAGGCCCAAGGATATGTGGTTCGAGTCTGGGACACTGGAGTTTATCTGCTGTACAGCCAGGTAACCCCAAACAAACGTTAAGCCTCACATGGGAGCTTGGGGGCCTGTAGGCCTGTTCTTCCAGAGCCTTATGCCCTAGTACTGAGGATTCTCAACCTTCTGTTCATACCAAACTTAGAAGACCCTCCTTTATTCCTTGGCTCCCTTGTCAGCACTCCTGACGCCTCCCAGAACTGAAAACCATCCTGTTTTTTTCAACATCTCCTCCCTTCCTTGCCAGGTCCTGTTTCATGATGTGACTTTCACCATGGGTCAGGTGGTGTCAAGGGAGGGCCAGGGAAAGCAGGAGACTCTATTCCGATGTATACGAAGTATGCCCTCCAACCCAGACTGGGCCTACAATAGCTGCTACAGTGCAGGTAACAGCTCTGTGGGCAGTGGGGAGATGGATGTGAGAAGAGCAGGACATAACTGACCTGGGGGCAGTGGTGAGAGAGCTATGACAGAGGGTTGGAAGCCTTATGTAGAGATGGATCTAAGGAACAAAGGAGAGAGAATACCTAGGTTCTTATAGGAAGTAGAAAAAGGTTGAACTGGGGGAGGGCAAAACATCAGAGTATCTGCATGGCTGTGCTTCACTGAGCATCTATCTCCTCTCTTTTCTCAGGTGTCTTCCATTTACACCAAGGGGATATTCTGAGTGTCATAGTCCCCCGAGCAAGGGCGAAACTTAGCCTCTCTCCACATGGAACCTTCCTGGGGTTTGTGAAACTGTGATTGTTATAAAAGGTGGTTCTGGGCTTGGAAGATATAGGAGACAGCCAAAAGCTGACTAGACAAAAGACGGAATGGGAACCAACAGAGACCTCTTCTGGGTTTAACTGGAACCCTCAGCTTGATAACTCTCTGTTCCTCCCTTTTTCTTTTCCAACCTCAACCCCTAGACTTTGATTTCATGAATATTAAGGAGGTAGAATATCTTGCTTTTTTTCTCCCATCTAGCCCCATGTTCTTGGGGCTGTGGAAGGGTGGAGTGAATACCAGGCATTATCTAGACCTGCTTTGGGTCCCACTGGAATGCTTCCAGAACAGCACCACCATCTAGCGGCAGTTTGAGAGAATCATCCTGTTAGCAGAAGTCCATAAAGCCTCCCTACGCTCAGGAAAACTCCTGGTTCCCTTTGCCACACCTGCCTCGAGGTACCCTGTCTCTTCACCCCACAGGAAGCCTCATCCTCACTTTCCTAGATCTACTGCGCCTTAGTTTCCATCACTATCTCCAGAGGTGTATTTATTATGGGGGTGTCGGATGACGACGATCCCCTTGCAGCCATGTTACTCTCTGGGTTTCAAGTTTTGCCTCTCATGCTCTGCATTCCCCTGGCGTGGCAGGCCACTCCAAGCCCCTGTGGGCTGAGACGGGACGCCGGGGATCCTTGGATGAATCGTATGTCTGACGCTGGTCTTGCCTCACTCTTGAGGTCTTTTCTGCTCAAGCCCTGCTTAAAGTTAAATAAAAGAGAATAAATGATACCTCGGATCCATTTCCCCCCCTGCCGTGCCTGAGCCCCTTTCCTTCACCCACGATCTCCTGCCCTCCCGGTACTCCCCTGGCGCACCCCACTATACCAAAAGCACCCGCCCGGGTTCCTAGGACTGAGAGGAGAACCACGCAATCTGGCACCATGGCACGCGCAGGCGCAAAAGGACGAGTGGTGGGGTCGTCGCGCGCAGCATAGGTCAGTGGGTGTGCGTAAGCGCAGCCCTGCGTGGGGCTCGGGGGCGGAACGATCCCGTGGCGTCTACGTTCATGGGTAGGCGGGACTAGGCGCGTGGTGGCCGCGCCGGCGCTGTTCGCCGAGTGTGACGTAGTTATCGTGCGCCGCCACCGCCGGTGGGCCTGGGGCTCGCGGGAGGGGAAACAGGAGGAGGAGGGGGAGGTGGTGGAGGTGGAAGCTGAAGCAGAGCAAGAGGCGGCCGCGGCATAGCGGCTCAGCGGCGCGGCGCGCGGCCCAGAAGCGTTGGAATCCTGAATCGAGACGCTACGCCTGAAGACAGCAGGAGTGGCGGGGCCTCCGCCGTCACCGGAGAGATGAGCCGGGAAGCCTGAGGCCGGAGACGCCCGCCCTCGGGCCCGTCAGTCCGGCTGCACCGCTCCCGGTGAGGACGCCCCTTCCCCTCCCCCCCCAGCCCTGCCCCGGCCTCTCCCATTCCTGGACCTCATTCTCACCTAACCGGGGTCCAGGAGGCCCTTGAAGGGGTTTCTTAAGGCCCTCGCGCTCTGAGCCGTCCGAGCCTGTAGGACTGTACCGGTGCTGGGACGCATTCTGGTCCCCGGGGACAGAGCAGGAGAGGGGGCTGGGCCGTCCTGGCTCGCGCGGCTCAATTCTTTCCCAGGGCCTTGATTCGGCTGCTTAAGCACCGATTCTGTTTTTCTTCAGTTTACTTTAAAATTCTTCCCTTGTCATTAAATTCTACTACCTGAACCATAACCGTGGCATCCCTATTCCCTCCCGAGATGATCTGAGCGTTCCCCCTCTGCCCAGTTCATTCCAGGATGGTAGAAAACTCCCTTCCCACACTAGAGCACGGTTTCCCTGTGGAAGTTGTGTTCTCATGTACCATGTCAAAGTATCCTCGTGCTGAGCCATATCCCTTATTTGGCTCTCAATTGGGAACACTCCTACTGTTGTTAAAACAGATTAGTACAACCTGAAAATACTGGGTTTGACCAAATAAGATCCCCAAAGCCTGCTGCTTTAGCCATTCACCCATGTCTCTATCTGGGTAGGGGAGAGATGATGGTACAGATGTTAAAGATTCCCTTGTGGACCATGTTAACCGGAAGATCTGGTTAGGTTTTTTTTGGTTTTTCCTCTCTCCTTTTTGCACCTCTCTGAGTCCTAGTTTATTTGCATCTGTTTCCAAAACAGGCATGCTGAGGAAGAAAGGCAGGATCTGGGGTACAGAATGTTTGGATTTTGACACTCCTTTTTTTTACAGGCTACTGGAAGATGAAAGAGACTATACAAGGAACTGGGCCTTGGGGGCCTGAGCCTTCAGGACCTGGCATAGCCCCAGCTTACTCAAGTCCTAGGCGGGAGCGTCTTCGTTGGCCGCCACCCCCCAAACCCCGACTCAAATCAGGTGGAGGGTTTGGGCCAGATCCTGGGTCAGGGACCACAGTGCCAGCCAGACGCCTCCCTGTCCCTCGGCCTTCTTTTGATGCCTCAGCTAGTGAAGAGGAGGAAGAGGAGGAGGATGAGGAAGATGAGGAAGAGGAAGTAGCAGCTTGGAGGCTGCCCCCCAGATGGGGTCAGCTGGGAGCCACACAGCGGCCTCGCCCTCCCCGCCCTACTCATCGAAAAATCTGCTCACAGCGCCGTCGCAGAGCTATGAGAGCCTTCCAGATGCTGCTCTACTCAAAAAGCACCTCGTTGACATTCCACTGGAAGCTTTGGGGGCGCCACCGGGGCCGACGGCGGAGCCTTGCACACCCCAAGAACCATCTTTCACCCCAGGAAGGGGGTGCGACACCACAGGTGCCATCCCCCTGCTGTCGTTTTGACTCCCCCAGGGGGCCACCTCCCCCTCGGCTGGGTCTGCTAGGTGCTCTCATGGCTGAGGATGGGGTGAGAGGGTCTCCACCAGTGTCCTCTGGGCCCCCCATGGAGGAAGATGGATTAAGGTGGACTCCAAAGTCTCCTCTGGACCCTGACTCGGGTAAGGTGGGAAGAGGGTGGAGGAGGGAATGGGGAGGGCTAAGATCCTGGAGAACCAGGAGCCTCTTGCTGTGATTAAAACTGGGCCTAAGGAAAGTAGGATGGCAGTGAGGGCAGTGGTGGTGGTGGGGGGGTCCAGAATAACTGTGCAATGTCTTAAGCCCCACTTTGAGCAGAAACAAAGTCAGGGGAGGTAGTGAAGGCTAGGATACAGAATCCTTAAGTAGGTGTTCATTCTGTGTGTAGATGAAAAGGGGAGACATGGTCTAGAAAAGTCAGTCTTACCCACTTGAAATTCCTTTTCATTTGGCCTTTGAGGATAAGGGCTCTTGCATGTGCATCTCCTTATTCTCATAGTGAGGGGATGGGACTGAGTACTGGAGTGTACATCACCTATATAGTTGTGTGGTATTCTCACTCAGAATATTTCTTTTTTGAAGAATCACACTAAACAATTTAGGCTTTCTGAGTATTTATTGAGCCTTTGCTATATGCCAGGTACTGTGCTAGGTGCATCTCTCTGACTCCTAATCTTTTCTCCTATGAGTAGAGTTGACCCTTAGAGTGGGTTTGAACTGTTTGGGTCCACTTATATTTAGAGTTGGCCCTCCGTGTCTGCGGGTTTCACATTTGTGAATTCAACCACTTGTGAATCAAAGACTATTTTGATCCGTGGTTGGGAATCCACAGATGCAGAAGCTCGACTGTATGCATTGCTCTCTGCCATTTAATGTAAGGGATTTGAGCATACGTGAGTTTTGGTATACACAGGGATCCTGGAACCAATCCCCCACGGATACTGTGGGACAACTGAATTTTGGGGGGGAGTTAAAAGTTACACACATGTGAGGGGGGTGTGGTGTTCCTAACCCCCATGTTATTCAAGGGTTAACTGTAGCAACTCTTCTTCTTTATCCCTTTATAACCTCTTAGACATGCTTATCTTATGCTGTAGGATCTCCATTCCTTAGAGTTTGTCTTCCCATTTTCCTTTGATCTGAGTCAATTTTTCATCCCCATCCTGTTCCCCTGCCCTACAGGCCTCCTCTCTTGTACTCTGCCCAACGGCTTTGGGGGACCACCTGGGACAGAAGGGGAGCGAAGTCTGGCACCCCCTGATGCCAGCATCCTCATCAGTAATGTGTGCAGCATCGGGGACCATGTGGCCCAGGAGCTTTTTCAGGGCTCAGATTTGGACACTGCAGAAGAGGCAGAGCAGCCTGGGGAGAAAACTGGCCAGCATAGCCCCCTGCGGGAGGAGCATGTGACCTGCGTGCAGAGTAAGGAACCCTGGAGGACCTAGTCTCTTTCCTCAGCGGACTCCTAGATCAGAGTCTGGAGGTCTTACTCTAGTACTCTCTCCCTCCTCCATTCAGGCATCTTAGATGAATTCCTTCAAACTTACGGCAGCCTCATCCCCCTTAGCACTGATGAGGTAGTAGAGAAATTGGAGGACATTTTCCAGCAGGAGTTTTCTACGCCTTCCAGGTGAGGCATGAAAGAGATGCCCTTTAGAAAAGGGTTGGGATTTAGGGGATGGGGAGAGAATGCTGCTGCTTTTTCTGTCATAGGGATGTACTTGGGAAGAAGGAGGAAGCTAGAACTGAAGCAGGGTAATCTGCAGGCAAGGTGCCAAGTCCCTGTAAGCCGACTGGGAGGGTCTTTGCCTGGGATCCTGAAATACTGTATATATCTGAGTGTTCATATGCTTCTTTCTGAGGAGTAGGCCTTTGGCAGGTCTCGAAAGGACCCTTGACACAAAAAAGAGGGAGGGGAGGGATTAGTTTAGCTCTTATCATAGACAATAGAAGGTACTTCTGTGTGCCCTAGCCCCCTTGTCTTTTGAGTGACTCCACCCTTGGCCTACTCAGGAAGGGCCTGGTGCTACAGCTGATCCAGTCATACCAGCGGATGCCAGGCAATGCCATGGTGAGGGGCTTCCGAGTGGCCTATAAACGGCATGTGCTGACCATGGATGATTTGGGGACCTTGTATGGACAGAACTGGCTCAATGACCAGGTGAGGAGGAGAGAAATAGGCCCAAGAGGGGATTCAAGGAGCAGGGTGTCGGGGGCCCTCTTCATGGGTGATCCTTGTACCCATGTCACACCCTCCATGGCAAGTTGCCTCCCATCTTCTCCACAGGTGATGAACATGTATGGAGACCTGGTCATGGATACAGTCCCTGAAAAGGTAGGCCTAACCAGTTACTTTAGTCCCTTTCGTCTGTCCCATTTTACATAAAGAGGGCCCTAGTTTCTGGGTAGAGGTGGTAGAAGGTAATCTGTTAAATTCAAGTCCATAATCTTGGTCCTGAACTTAACAATGCTATTTCTTTTCCCCAGTCTTTAGTGTTTTTCCGCTATGGTTAACCCACAAATTGGGATGGGAAGCTCTAAGATAAAGTTAAAAACAAGTTTGTTTGTTTGTTTTTTATCCTCGGTGAATTGGAGTGCAGGTTGTTGAAAGCAGTCCTTAAACCCATAATGAAATGGAGAGGACACTTGAAGGGCCTGAGGTTTTATTTCATCCAACTCTTTTTTATCATTGGCACAGGTACATTTCTTCAACAGTTTCTTCTACGATAAACTTCGTACCAAGGGTTATGATGGGGTGAAAAGGTGGACCAAAAACGTGAGTTATGAAGTCACATCTACTTATGTTAATAGCTTGCCTTTGAAGAATTAGAGTTCTATTTTTATGAGCTCTTTCCTGAACCCATTCATTCAGTCCTTCAAATATTTATTAAATGTCTTCTTTGTGCTAGGTACCATTCTAGGCACTAAGGATACAGGGTCAAACAAGGAAACCTTCTTGCCTTTATAGGGTGAGAATAAATAAATAAGTTGAGTTTCAGCTGATGATAAATGCTGTGAACAAATTAAAATAGTAATGTAGTAGCATGGGAAGTGGGAACTTTATATCGGGTGATCTTGGAAGGCCTCTCTTAGCTGAGACTTGAATAATAAGCCAGCCACGTGCAGATTTGGAGGAAGAGTGTTCTAGGCAAAGGGAATAACAAGTACATGGGACACAAAGTGAGAGAGAACATTTGAGGAACAGGGGCCTGTGTGGTTGGAACAGAGTGAGCAAAGGGAAAATGATACAAAATTTGGTCACAGAGTAGATTATGTAAGGCATGGAGGGCAGGGTAGATTTTATTCCACGTGTACTGAGAAGCCATTGAAGAATTTAAAGTAGGTCGTTAAGTGCCTCATGTTTTGAACTCATTTCAAAGATAAGTTGAAAGGAGGGCAAGAGTGGAAGCAGACAAATTTAAGAGAGTAGCACAGAAGTCGACATGAGAAGCTTGGACCAGTGTGGTCATGGTAGAAATAGAAGTAGTTTTGCAAGTAGAACCAATAGGACTATCTGATAGATTAGATGTTTGAAATGAAGAAAAGATAGGAATCAAGGACAATGCCTAGGTTTTTGGCCTGTTACTAGGTGAAATACTTGGGGGAAGAAGTTTGGTGAGGGGGGAAAAAGTTCTTTTCTCCCCTCCAGTTAGTTTCCCTGCCTCCCAATTCAAAGCTCAGGATATTTCTACAGTAATGTAGGACCACTCAGCATTCCCTAATTTCTTTCCCTGGGTTCAAGAGCTTACACCCTCAGAGATCTGGAAGGCCTGCTTCTCCCAGTAGAGGCAGAGTGACATGCAGTGAAAAGAACTTCGCCTTCTATATACTTGCATTTGAGTCCCACCTCTGCCATTTCTTTTGTGATTTTGGGCCAGTTACTTTCCTTTTTCAGGCCACAGTCAGGTTCATTGTTAGGTTGAACATGAGAACATCCTCAAAGGATTGTTGTGTTAACTGATTGAGTACTTACTAGGTGCCATGTATTGTTCTTAGTGCATTACGGATATTAACTAGTTTAATCCTCGTAACAAATAGGTGATCTAAGTGCTATTATTTTCACCCTCTTACAGATAAAGGAACTGAGGTATAGAGTTATTAAGTAGCTTGCCTATGGTCATAAATGGAGGAGTGGATTTGAACTCTGGCAGTCTGGTTCCAGAATCCTTAGCCTGGGTGCTTAGCTACTAAGCACTTGTACCTTTAATGTGTGAAAAGTACCTGGCCCATCCTGATCTATCTAGTGTTTGTTCTGACACCACTTCCTCTGTCTTGCCTTCCTTCCTAACCCCAAGAATCTAGACATCTAGATGTTGAGCCTTGTCTCGCGATTCAGGGGGTGGGTCTTGTGTTCCTTGCCTGCTTCTCCATTCTTTAGAACCTCATGGCAGTAGGCAGGACTCATGTACTGTCTTACCTGACCTCCAACACTGCCTCCTTAGGTGGACATCTTCAATAAGGAGCTACTGCTAATCCCCATCCACTTGGAGGTGCATTGGTCCCTCATCTCTGTTGATGTGAGGCGACGCACCATCACCTATTTTGACTCGCAGCGCACCCTAAACCGCCGCTGCCCTAAGGTTTGTGAGGAGGAAGGGAAAGATGGGTAGAACTGGGGAGGAGGTCCAGTGGTAAGGCATTCCAGGCAGAAGGGTGGATTTGGGGTTCTCTGAGAACTCTGAGAAGCAACCTGGGTTTGGTGCCTGTGACCACCATGAGTTCACGTCCTTTTCTTCATCTGCATAGCATATTGCCAAGTATCTACAGGCAGAGGCAGTGAAGAAAGACCGGCTGGATTTCCACCAAGGTTGGAAAGGTTACTTCAAAATGGTAAGTTTCTAGAGAAGGAGTTTAGGGTTGGTGGTGGGGATAGTGGTAAGAGACAGAGGTTGAAGCCACTTCCCTAGCAGTCTCCAGGTGAATGGCCTACCTTCTTTTTATTCTCTAGAACGTGGCCAGGCAGAATAATGACAGTGATTGTGGCGCCTTTGTGTTGCAGGTAAGTAGATGACAGTTGGGTTAATGGGGTTGGGAGGGAGATGGGAGGCTCTTCTACATCCCTCATTTGGCTCACAGCCACTTGTGGAGCAGGGAGTAATCTGATGTGATAGAATGTAGAAATCCTGGTTTCATTGGTCCTCTTCTGGCTTCCCCATCCCACATTGGTCTGGTCCGTGGTCTCTGGCTATGATATACCTGCCTCCTGACTGCACTGCAAAGTTTTTTCTTTTTCTTAACACCAGGTATTTCATGTACCAAATAAGAACATTGGATTTAGAGTCAGACTTTTTTTGAGCCCTAAGCTATAGGACCATGGCTCCTTCTATTTGTGAAATGGGCATGTTCTCTGAAAGATTGAATGAGACATATCTCATATGAAATATGTAGCACAGGGGATGCTCAGTAGGTGGTTCTCATGGCCTGCTTTGTTAACACCTAGTACTGCAAGCACCTGGCCCTGTCTCAGCCATTCAGCTTCACCCAGCAGGACATGCCCAAACTTCGACGGCAGATCTACAAGGAGCTGTGTCACTGCAAACTCACTGTGTGAGCCTCGTATCCCAGGCCTCAAGCTCATTCATTAATGGGCAGGGGGACATGGGAGACCCTTCCTTCCCAAGAAACTCCAATTCCTTTCCTCTCTTGCCTCTCCCCACCCAATTCCCTTTTATTTTTCATATTTAAATGTTTTAATTGATTTCTGTATTTTTTTTTCCTTTGAGAGAATACTTGTTGATTTCTGACATTCAGGGGGCAGCCTTGGAAAAGCCCCTTTTTCCCTCTACAGGAGAGGATGGCCTTGTGGCTGGGTGGGGCAGTGATCCCCTTCCACGTGTATGGGTGGTCCCAGGGAAATCTGTGCTGGGGGTGGTGGGCGGGCAAAGGGATTACTGCCTGCCAGATCTTCAAACTTTTTTTTATATATATATAAATGCCACGGTCCTGCTCTGGTCAATAAAGGATCCTTTGGAGATACATAGTGGTGGTCTTCCTTAAGGGGCCTCAAACTTAAGGGGTAATGTTGTAGCTCAGGCTTTCCTCCAGTCAGTGCTGTTAGGTCCCTTTTATGGGTCTTGAGACTTAAAGGGGCCTTTCCATCCCTGGCTCAGGCAGTGCCAACACCATGTTTTAGTCATCAAAAACAATCCTCTACCCAGGGGAGCAACGGATGGAAGAAGGGAGAGTAGGTAATTATCAAAAATAAGGGAGCTTGAGAGGTACTAAAGTGACACTTAAAGGAGCCAGCCAGGATTCGTGACAGCAACTCCAAATACTCTTAAGCCCAGAAGTCAGTTACTCCATCCCTATTTTCTTCCAGCCAGCGGGATCCTCCCAGCGACTAGGGTATTACTCCTGATCCCATCATCCCTGGTACATTCAGAACACATTCGGGGTTTGTCCCATCTGTCTTTGGAGAAAAAAAAAAAATGTGGGCCCAGTGGTGACCTGGAGCAGAGAGGCAAAGGGAAGTGGAAGTCTCGGGAGCCCGGAAGTCTCTGGAGGCTGAAACCTCGCCCCCTTGTATGATAGGGCCTACCAGGCCACATGACTAAGGCACTATCGCCTCTGCACGTGTAGAGGCGCAGGGCCCCAAGATGGCTGCCGGGCCTCGAGGCCTGAGTCCTGTATGTCACTTCCGTACCGGTGAGAAGGGCGGGCCCAGTAGCCAATGAGGCCGTGGGGCGGGCCACCTACTTGATAGGCGCTCAAGTTATCCAATAGTGACTACGTGCTAAAGCGCCTACAAACCAACGTCACGCGGAGTTGCTGAGCGCCGGCAGGCGGGGCCCAGGCGGTCAAGCCAATGCCGTAGCTGGGGCGGGGTCGGGCGCTCTATAAGTTGTCGATAGGCGGGCACTCCGCCCTAGTTTCTAAGGATCATGTCTGCGAGTCAGGATCCCCGGTAAGGAAGGCATTTTCTAGAGATTGGGGCTACTTACCCTGCCGCTCCCTTCCGAGGGCCCTGCGTGGGAGGGAACTGAGGCCCACAATGGTTGCGGGGAAACCAAGCCGGGAGGACGGGTCCTGAGGGAGGAACGGGGTAGATCCACGCAGAGGGCGAGAACAGCCCGGCTTTCAGGGCCTAGAGTGCGAGGTTCGTTAGGCCTCGACCAGAGACGGCGCCCAAAGCCTTGGCGCTGAGTGCCGAGACGAGGTTGTAACCTAGTATGGGAAAGAAAGGTAGAGGCGGCCGCAACCGTGCGTGCCCCAGAGCCGGACGGTCCGGTTGCCTCACTGTCGGAGGGAGGTCTTGCGCGCGCTCGGATCCTGCAGGATTCTGGCGGTACCACTTGTCAAGGTGGGGGGGTCTGGGTCCTCACGTCCAGTCGTTGCGTCGCGTTGAGATACGGGTCGGGGAAGAAGAAACCGGCCGTTCAGTGTGCTGGTTTTCTTGACGGCCAGGACTGAGCCTAACCCCGAGGAGCAGCCGCGTGAGGCGCCAGAAGCCCACCCGGCGCCGGGCGGGCGGGTCCATTTTGCCGCACAAGCCGGGCAATTGGCAAACTGCGGATGGGCAGGTCCACTTTCCTTCGGGGGTGAGCGCCCTGAGGTATGGGGAGGGCGACGCCATTTCGCGACGGGGGCGGGCGGGATGTGGATTGTTCCATGGTGGGAGGTAACACCGCCGGGTGGTCGAGGGAGCGAGCACATGGCGGCCTGATGTCCTCCCCTCCCCCAGCCCACTTCGCTTCTAAGTGTTGTGCAATCTCCCCATTAGCTAGCTCGGCTGGGGCTCATTGTGCGCGAGGCCGCCACCGCCCGCGGCCTCCCACATCCGGGCACCACGAGGGGGGGAGATGGGCTGGAGGGAGTGGGGGAGGGCACGCACGGAATGACGTGGGGGGAAGGGGATGTCCTCTCCATTCTGGGAGGTGAAGGGCGGGACTTCCGGAGCGCTGGGGCCGCGATGGGAGGTGCACACGTTTGGCCTTGGATCCGCCAGGCTCGAGACACGTGGGCCCAGTGGAAAGCCCCACCTCCCAGCCTTTTAAGCGCGGCACCTGTACTCCAGGCCACCAGATCTTCTAGGAGGGTTACCCCATGTCGGGATGGCATGACCTGAGCCGCTCCTGGGATGGGGCAAAGGCCTGACTCAGTTGTAAAGTAATTACTGTGTCTTCTAAGAACTGGTGGGGGTTGGGTCAGGGAGTGAAGACCAAATCATGCAAAGTGGGTTGCTGGTAGATAGCCGGCTGTCAGGATTACTGACGTGCTTCAGCATACTCCTACTTTAAATCAACAGATCCAGAGACAATGGCCCTGATGGAATGGAGCCTGAAGGCGTCATCGAGGTGAGATCAGACCCCTTCCACCATTGCTTTTCATTTTGGGGAATGGCAATGCCACTTAGCAGTGTCTCCTGGTTTCTGGATTGGTGCTTCAGTGTCTTAAGTTTAAAACCAGAACCTGAGATTTATTTTTAATGCATAACCTAACTTTGAAGTAGTTAAGCCCTCAGGAAGTCTTAACTTTTATACTTTGTTCAAGATATTTGTATCCCTGAGAGTGTGGACAAATTATGTCATTTAAATTGAGTCCTATACTCCCTTCTACAATCTCCAGCCTCATGGTTTAATGTGGACTGGCCCTTAGAGTGATTTCCTAGGCTGTGTAGAATCATCTGGCTTCTCTGGAGGGAGAGGGGAAAGGTTGTTGCCTCTGAAGCTTTGAAGGCAAAAGACTTGTTTGCCCCAGAGTAGATCGCTGTTTCTACTATCATTTCTTTGCATCCTACAGAGTAACTGGAATGAGATTGTTGACAGCTTTGATGACATGAATCTCTCCGAGTCCCTCCTCCGTGGCATCTACGCCTATGGTTTTGAGAAGCCCTCTGCCATCCAGCAGCGAGCCATTCTTCCTTGTATCAAGGGTAAAATTCCTTTGCCCCAAAACTAGTTCTGGACTGTTGCTTATCTTGGTTGCACCTAGTTTGGTGGTGTTTGTCTCATTTTAGCCAGGGACAAAGTAACTCTTCGTTTATCCTGGCTTGACTTTTGGTCTGTGCTTTAATGAGGGTGTAGTGTTGTAGCCTGCTCATAACTTGTTTTTACAGCTGTATTTCTAGCCTACTTCATGCAGTACTAGGTTAATAGTCAAGTCTATTCCCATTAGTATACTAGTTGTGTTAGAATCAAGTCTGTGAAGTACTTTTTGCTTGGCACATAGCTACATTGGGTGCTTATTTATCTTGTTCTGCAAGGCCTTGAATGTCCCATGATCCCTAAGTGTATGCCCTCTACTATATCAAGATTTTTCTCTTGGTTTTAGGTTATGATGTGATCGCGCAAGCCCAATCTGGGACAGGAAAAACAGCCACTTTTGCCATATCAATTCTGCAACAGATTGAATTGGATCTAAAGGCCACCCAAGCCTTGGTCCTGGCACCCACTAGAGAATTGGCACAGCAGGTAAGGGTGTAGCTTATTTCCCCTCCCCTGAAGGACTAATTTAGAAATAATTAGTACAATCTAAAAGTCAGAGTATGCTCTCCAGTCACCAACACCATGGGAGAACTGAGGTATCTACACGAACATATAATAAACATTTCCTCCACCCATTTCCTGAATCAAATGGGAAGGGTTCTTGGGTGGAGCCTGGCTGGCTGAGCAAGTTTGGTGGCTGTTTTATAGACAGACCCCCTGGTATTGGGCAAGGAGACACCTGATTGGTGGTGTTGGTCTTATATCAATCAGGGGCAGAGCAGATGTATAGTCCTTAGTTCATCCTAGCTTGATGCCTGTATTGGTGGCCAGAGCTGTTTCATGCCTGAGGCACATGAAATTATAATTCCTGGGTCTTTGAGGGGAAAAGATCAGAAACACTGGTCTCATAAGTAGATTAACTGAGGTTTGGGAGGTGTGGTTTTAAAATATTTTGTAGGGGTGTTGTGATTACTCTGTGATAATGTAAGTAGTTCTAGTACAACTCCATTCTAGGCCCTTTAGGTCTAGAATATGCTTTTTAAGAGTAAACATATATCACCTAACAGTTTTTATGGCAGCTGTACAGTGCAACAATGGGTATGTGTCATTCCATGCATACAACTGAATGCTATGAAATAAGAGTATATAAGTGGGCCACAATTGGATTTCAGAAAGTTGTGTGGGGGTCTAGTATGGTAAGCCATATTGAAATTATTTCAGAGAGCAGTTATGGTGAGTGACAAGTTCTCAGGAACCAGAATGTGTTTAAATTCAAAGTGTTGTTTTCATGAAAGTGCATATCTAGTTGCGGGGGGGGGGGGGGGGCGGACCATGAGAAGCACTTAAAGTGGGGCTTGGTACAGTTGTGGTTAATATATGAGAACTTATCTTTTTCTGGGTTCAGATACAGAAGGTAGTCATGGCTTTAGGAGATTACATGGGTGCTTCCTGCCATGCCTGCATTGGGGGTACAAATGTGCGTGCAGAGGTGCAGAAGCTGCAGATGGAAGCTCCCCATATCATTGTGGGCACCCCAGGCCGTGTGTTTGATATGCTTAACCGCAGATACCTGTGTGAGTATCCTTTAATTTTTTAGTCCTCTGGGTCACTTCCTCTTCTGCATACTTTCCCAGTCTTTCCATTTGGCCACAATATTATTGTCAATGAAGCTCGTTTTCCCCTGAAAGTGTTGCTCTATGATGAACCCCATGCGTGTCATCTGAGCCTGGCTTCCCTGTCTCAGCCCAGGTAGTGTTCTACTTCCCAGGGCTATTGTCTGGCCTGGCAAGGGGGGTCCCTGGCAAAGGATCAAAATTTGAATTCTGAGAGCAGACCACCTGTTAACTTTATGGTTGTTTATTGGGAAAGTTAAGTATACTTCACATTTCCCTGATAACTATTGATTCCCCCCCTCCTCCCCCTGTATAGCTCCCAAATACATCAAGATGTTTGTACTGGATGAAGCTGATGAAATGTTAAGCCGTGGATTCAAGGACCAGATCTATGATATATTCCAAAAGCTCAACAGTAACACCCAGGTGACAAAGACTTAAGAGTCTTGCCTCTATAGCAGATCCTTTAACAAAAGAGCACTTATCTGGTGCCAGAGGAATCATAAAGAACTCTAGTCTCTCCTCAAACCTTTTTTATGCATTTGCTTCTGTTTTAGGTTGTACCTAGGGAAGGTGGCATGGAGTATCTGCCATCCTGAGGCTGCTCTTTTTTTCCCGGTTAGGTGGTATTGCTGTCAGCTACAATGCCTTCCGATGTGCTTGAGGTGACCAAGAAGTTCATGAGGGATCCCATTCGGATTCTTGTCAAGAAGGAAGAGTTGACTCTGGAGGGTATCCGCCAATTCTACATCAATGTGGAACGAGAGGTGGGGCCCGGTGCAGGAGGCAGACCTGGTAGTGAGTTGTTGGATATATCCCCTGACTGATTTTTTTTCTCCCCCCAACTCCATCTTAGGAGTGGAAGCTGGACACACTCTGTGATTTGTATGAAACTCTCACCATCACCCAGGCAGTCATCTTCATCAACACCCGAAGAAAGGTTGATTGGCTCACTGAGAAGATGCACGCCCGAGACTTCACTGTTTCTGCCATGGTAAGAGTCACCCCCACCTGTTTTACCAGCAGTGTGTATTAGTCAGTGGTCCACTTGTAGCCAGTTCTCAGAACCAATAAGCCTGTTTCATTCTTCTGTTTCCTGTTCTAGCATGGAGATATGGACCAAAAGGAACGAGATGTAATCATGAGGGAGTTCCGCTCTGGCTCTAGCAGAGTATTGATTACCACTGATCTGCTGGTGAGTTGGGGGGAAATCTGGAGAGAACTGGGAAGGAAGATACCAAGGTGATTCCCTCTCCAAGAGGCCTAATAGTGCCCCTCTTCAGGAAAGTAGCAACTTGGTATAAAATCTGGCATGCCTCAGGTTTTTCAGTGGAGAAGGTGAATTGTCATTGCCTTTGCCTTTCTTTGGCTGCCTACATATATACTTATGTCCCAAGTTCCTCTGAGTAGCTTATGTCCTCTTCTTACATGCTAAAGCTGTCATCTTTCCTTGCCATAGGCCAGAGGAATTGATGTGCAGCAGGTTTCTTTAGTTATCAACTATGACCTTCCCACCAACAGGGAAAACTATATCCACAGGTGAGTACATTTACCCAGCCCCTCATGTCCAATCCTCCCCAGGCTGAAGCTTCTTGTTTTCTGTTTACCATATCCTGAGGTGTCCTTGTTTTCCAGAATTGGTCGGGGTGGACGTTTTGGCCGTAAAGGTGTGGCTATTAACATGGTTACAGAAGAAGACAAGAGGACTCTTCGAGACATTGAGACCTTCTACAACACCTCCATTGAGGAGATGCCCCTCAATGTTGCTGACCTCATCTGAGAGGGGCTGGCCTGCCACCTCACCCCAGCCAGGGTTCTCAGTCCTTGGGGGGCTGAGGAGAAGCAGGAGGGGGGAGGGAAGGGAGCCAAGGGATGGACATCTTGTCATTTTTTTTCTTTTTTTCTTTTTTTTTTTTTCCTTTGAATAAATGTCACTTTTTGAGGCAAAGAAGGAACCGTGAACATTTTAGATACCCTTTTCTTTGGGGTAGGCTCTTGCCCCAGGCGCCGTCTCTTCTCCCAAAAACACTAATCCACTTCCTTAACCTAGTCAACCTCCAAACCCCAGAGGCTCTCCCTGCTCCAGCCAAATTCCTCTGAAAATGATTTAGGGGGGGACTATGTCACTCAACCTCATTTACTGGACCAAATCTGGAGGGAGAAACCCCTGAGTTAGGTGGCCCAGGGGATTGTCCCCAAGTGGGGGGGGAGCAGGGGAGAAAAAATAGTAGCCATTTTTACATTGTTTTGTATAGTATTTATTGATTCAGGAAACAAACAAAATTCTGAATAAAATTACTTGGAAACTGCCTGTTTGGGCTTCTCATTTCTTCCCCTTCCCACCTGCTATGGGGTATATATTTCCCCTACCAGCTAACCTTCTGTTGTTGCTTTGTTATAATGGTCAGTTAGAGTAACGGACTAGTGTGACCCTTCTGTAAGGGGTTGGGCAATCACCATCACAAGTGCCTCACATGTCTCAGTCAAGAGGAAGTGATGGAGGGGAAAATGGAACTGGTCACCTGGTTTTTACATTGAATATTTTCTCTGCAAACTACGGAGGGGCTGCTTTTCAACTGCTTCTGTAATCACTTGCCTCATCTGGGGTTTTGCTTAGGTAAACCAATGAGTCCCCAAGGATCAACTCTAAAACTCCCAATTCATTCTCCCCCATGACAATCTTAATCCTGACAACTTCCACTTTGGTGAAGCCAGTGTCAATCGTCTTCATGGCAAAAGTGTGATGACTCAGAGATAGGTCACGGGCTGAGGTGCTTGAGTCAGGTTGGGGGGGTAGGGTTGTCTTAGTTACAGGAAGTCAAAAACTTTCATTTCCTCCTTTTCCAAAAGAAGACGGGGAGGGTAGACTGAGCAGCTGGTACTGACAACTGAGAACTCCGCTGTTCTGCCATGCAGCTTGCTGTGTTTTTCTTGGGGGCCTTGCTAGGTCTACTAGCAGGTAAGGAAAAGGGGGACTTTCGGGGAAGGAGCCTACCCTTGGGTTGCTAACCAGTCTTTTTCCTCTGCTGAAAGCCCACGGGACAGGGAATGACTGTCCTCATAAAAAATCTGCTACTCTGCTGCCATCCTTCACGGTGACACCTACGGCTACAGAAAGCACAACAAGTCCTGGAACAACCAGCCACAGAACCACCAAGAGCCAAAGAACCACCACCAGAGGCACTAGCCATGGACCCACAACAGCTACTCACAATCCTGTCACCACAAGCCATGGACCCACAACGGCTACTCACAATCCGGTCACCACGACAAGCCATGGAAATGCCACAATTCATCCAACAACAAGCAATAGCACTACTACCAGTCCAGGATCCCCAACCAGTTCCCCCCACCCAAGACCACCTCCACCCTCTCCAAGTCCTAGCCCAGGCTCCAAGGCAGCTGTAGGAGACTACACTTGGGCTAATGGTTCCCTGCCTTGTGTCCATCTCCAAGCCCAGATTCGGATTCGAGTTCTGTACCCAACTCAAAGTGGAAGAGAGGTAAAGCTGAAAGGGGTAAGAGGATGAGACCATTTGCTATGATTCAGAAGGGAAGAAGGAAGAGTAGAGAAGGGGGCCAATACAGGGTGGGGTTGAAAACAAGGCACATTAGATAGCATGGCTATATAGCCTTGTGACCCCCTTATCTCTAACTTCCACAGGCCTGGGGCATCTCTGTACTAAACCCCAACAAAACCAAGGCCCAAGGAGGCTGTGAGGGTGCCCATCCCCACTTGCTTCTCTCATTCCCCTATGGACAGCTCAGCTTTGGATTCAAGCAGGTACCTCACCCCTCATCCCTCATCCTCACACTCCCAAGTGCCCAGTCCCTAGCCCTTGCTGCATTCCTTACCCGGTGGACATGAATACCACTCTCCCCTGCTGCCCTGAGCCTTCCTGGTCACCCCTGCAGGAACCATTGCAGAGCACTGTTTACCTGAACTACATGGCTGTGGAGTACAATGTGTCTTTCCCGCAAGCAACACGTGAGTAACCTTCCCTTTGTCGTCACTTGCACTAAATGTCTGGACTCCTAAAAGGACCTAGGCTAGGGGGGTGGGGATATGGATATAGAGCTGACCCTTCCTCATTCTTTTAGAGTGGACATTCTCAGTTCAGAATTCATCCCTTCGGGAACTCCAAGCCCCTTTGGGCCAGAGCTTCAGTTGCAGAAATGCAAGCATCATTCTTTCACCAGCTTTCCACCTTGACCTGCTCTTCCTGAGGCTACAAGCGGCTCACCTACCCCCTACAGGGGCCTTTGGGCCAAGTAAGATACTTCTTCCCTCCTAGTACTCTCCCACTGCCTCTCCCACTGCACTGAAAGCCATACTCCAGGCAACTGCCCTCCCCTCTTCTACAAGACTGGCCATTCTCCCCCTTCATTTACTGCTCTTGGTCTTTTGGGTGAGCTCCTCACCAGTCTACTTCCTAACACCCCCCATATTCCTTCCTCTGACCTTTATCCCAGCCACCACATTGTGATGCCTACTTGCCCTATCTTTCTGCCAGGTTTCTCTTGTCCCAGTGACCGATCCGTATTGCTGCCTCTTATCATCGGTCTGATCGCCCTCTGCCTCCTCACCTTGGTGTTTGTTATCTTTTGCATCTTCCGGAGACGTCCACCCACCTACCAGCCCCTCTGAGCATTTGTCCCAACACCCAGGGCACCACTCAACTGACTGAGACAAAATTATCTCCCTTCCCCCTCTGTCTTGAAGAACAAAAGCAGAGATAATGCAACTGGGAGAACTGAGAAGAGATGTTTATTAAATGTGACATTTCCACTCCCCCATCCTCAGCAGAAGAAGAGTAAAACCTACTAAAACCTTTGTCTGGTTTTCCTTGTCCTTCTTGCCAGGGTTAAAAGCTGTGGGTTTCCTGTCACAATGCTTTCTGTGCCTTACATGGTTGAGTCTCAGGGAGCTGGTGAGGAGGGATGAAAATGTCAGCATGTAAACAAATGCCCTCATGGGTTCATCCCCCAAAGCCTGGTACAACTAGTGTTGAATCTGCCTCACCTCCCTTCCTCATTCTGGGGCCCCAAGCTGCTCCAGTTCCTCTTCCCCTCCAATCCAGAACCATCCATCCTGGTGGCCACCTTCCTGATCCTTATATGCAATTACAGGTGAAGCAGGCAACAGTAACAATGAGTGTGGGTGGGAAGGTCACAACTGTGTCATTTTGTTTCCAAAGGCTGTGCTAGTAGTACCTTAGCAACAAGAATGCCTGCCCAGCCCACCAGGTCCAGGGCTGCTTAACAGCATGATTAAATCCTTGCTGCACCTGGGATGCTATCTCACCTGCAAAGGGTTTCATCAACAAAAGGAGCAGTGGGTACTACAACCTCCGCATACAATTACCCTCTGTGCTCCTAGGAATGACAATACCTCCAGCCTGGGCCACCCTGATGTCCCCAGTGGTGGTGTACTTAGTGGTGGTGGGTGGCATCCCCAGTGCAGCCTGTGTCCAGATTCTACAAAAGGGCCTGCCAGACAGCCACAGCCTGCACTACCACTGAGTGCCACTCACGCCCTTTACAGTAGACCATGGTGCAATGGCTGGGGGCCAGAATGGGGTCACCCTGTTGCAGGAGCCCTTTACAGCTATAGAAACTTGCTACTGAGACCTGGAGACCCACCCCATTGTGGGCAGCCCTCATGTGGCAGTCCCAACAGCCCCACCACCGCCTCACAGACATTCCCTACGGCCTTGCAAATTGTGGCGTGACAGTCACAAAAGGGACTGCAAGACTGCGTGGTGCTTGCAGCAGACACCTGGGACTGCCAGAGCATGACGGCCAGTCCCACCACCACCAGGATGGCCAAGAGTTGGTGTCCCAATGCTGGGTGGCAAAGGGCATTACTCCTGCCGGGTAGTCCAGGGTGCCCTTTTCTAAAGGAGAGCTGCTGAGCCACTTAGCCTTGCTTAAGCCGTTGCTCAGCACGTGGTCACAGAAGGCAGAAGAGCGGGCCTTGGCCAGAGGCGCGCACTCGCGCCAGCGGGGTGGGAGGGAACCCACGGGGCCCTGCCTGTGCTTCATGGAGCCTACCAGGGCTGAGCCCCACAGGGGGCTGGAGGTGCTCTTCCCCGAACTGGTCTCGCCTTCCCCACATCCTCCTCTTCTGCTTCACTATGCCGGTCCAGCAGTTGCTGGCGCACCCATTCGCTGAGGCCTGGGTGAACCAGAGAAGGGAAAAGCTTGGACCCTGAAAGTAGCCCGGGGCCCGTGGAGAATTGCCTGGTGCAGGCTGTCCGGCTCCCACCAGCACCATCCCCTCTGGAGACATCGATAGAGAAGAGCTACAGCACCGCCATCCAACGCCATTTTGGAGATTCACGCTCCTTCTCTCAACTTTGAACAATGTAAAAGTCAGCAGGAAGAAGACAAGATGGCGCCGAGCAGGAGAAGCGGAGAAAAGCAGGAAGATAAATCTTGCTTCCAAACTGGACGCGTAAACAAAGGCGCATAACAGAGAAGTGCGCAGGCGTACAGCTGTGGCACGCTTTAAAATTCAAACAGCAGGGAGGGTGGGCCCAAAACGCGATCTCTGGCCGAGACCTATTTTACGCTACTATAGGTACGGCGGCGTAAGAAAGAGCGGAGAACGGGGGGCGGTCCAGCTTAGTTGCGGGAAGAGGCGGAATTCCCAGAGCACGCATGCGCACCATAGGTAATGACGGTCTGAAGAAACTGGCGGAAACTATCTTTACAATATGGCGGCCGAAGCTGACGGGCTGCTTAAACGGGTGCTGGTGCCGATTCTTTTACCTGAGAAATGCTACGACCAAATTTTCGTCCAGTGGGATTTACTTCATGGTGAGTTTTATTCGGCATCTGGTCAAAATTCTGCTAAAGTGCTCTCGGATCATAAGGGGGGCGTGGCTGCGGACTAACTGACGGCTGTGACTATTGCACGCGATGCTGGGCGGAAATTACTTCTGAGAGGGGCGGAAGTGTCCCGGACCCCGTAGAGGGAGGACGCCATTTGGGGGCTAGAGGGGTCGTTTGGTAGAAGTAAATTTCTGCGAAGTTTATGCTTTAGCGACACAGGAAGGCCAAAAGAGTCAATTTTACAAAACAATATAATCAAATTAATAAGTGTAATCAAATAGTTCAACCTTTAATAGATCGCTATGCCTTCAGCAAGGTCAAACTTGATTGCAAGCCTCATGAATTTAGGCCTTCGGCGTCACCCCCAAAGGTTTCTGCCATCCTCATTGCTTTTCTTCCTGTCTCCACGTTTGTTATGATCCAATTTTGAACTTGGCTTCCTTCCAATTTCTACGTGGCACCTCCACAGCGAGGCTCATCTCATGCCCCAGACCCTTTAGGAAGCTTTCCCAGTCTGCCCCTCAGTTCATGGTACTCTACTGTGCTTCTGAAACATTTTGTTTTAGCTGCATTCATGACAGATGAGAATCTGATTCCCACTGGGCCAAGCTCCATGAGGGGACGATTTCAGGGCTAGAGAAAGGGTGGCCAGCGCATGAAAGTAAATACTGGGGCCCAGCCGGTGTGGCTCCGTGGGTTGAGCATCATCCCATGGACTGAGAGGTCCCGGTTTGATTCCCCGTCAGGGCACATGCCTGCCTTGCAGGCTCCATTCTCAGTAGGGGGCTTGCAGGAGGTAGCTGATAGATGTTTCTCTCTCACGTCATTGTTTCTATCTCTTCCTTCCTCTCTCTAAAATTTCAATAAAAACTTATTTTTTTTTTATTTTTTTATCCTCATCCAAGGACACTTTTTTATTCTTTATTCAGATAGAGCAGGAGGGAGAGAGAGAGAAACATCGATGTGAAAGGGACACATCGAGTGGCTGCCACCCGCACGACCAACCAGGGCCGGGGACAAACTGCAACCGAGGTACATGCCCTTAGCGGGAACCGAACCCGGGTCTCTCCGGACCGCAGGCCGACGCTCTAACCGCTGAGCCAAACCGGCCAGGGCAATAAAAACTTATTTTTAAAAAAGTAAGTCCTAGAAGGGTAGAGCCAGGAACAATGGGTTCAGAAATGAATGGTAAAGAGGAGACCTGTTCTTGGATCGCCTAGTTGCTCAGAGGACGGGAATAAAGGATCAGCGTACTCTAGGTCATTGTTCAGCTTTATACAGGGAAGCAGTGGACAGTCTTTGAAGTAAATCTAGGAGTTTATTTTACTTTTGTAAATCCTTATCTGAGGACATGCTTAGAGAAAGAGAGAGAGAAAGAAACGTTGACTGATTGCCTTCCATATGTTCCCTGACTAGGGGGAATCAAACCCATAACCCAGGTGTGTGCCCTGACCAGGAATGGAATCAGCAACCCTTTGGTGCACCAGACAACTGAGCCACTCAGGCCAGGCTAGACCAAGGAGTTTAGATATAATCTTTTTTAAAATGTTTTTTTTTAATTGTTGAAAGTATTACAGATGCTCCCCTTTTTCCCCCCATTGACCCCCCTCCTTCCTGCTCTCAATCTCCTGCTTTCCCCAACCTAATGTCTGTGTGGTTGTGTAGATGTAATCTTTAGGGAATGGAAAATTGGGTTGGAGGAAAGCAATGGTAAAAGCTGTTTTGGAAAGTCACCTTGTCTGGACATGAATTGATTTGGAACAGTAAGGACGAGGCCTTTTTCACCTGCCTCCAGACAACTGAAGGGTTCCCTGTGTGGGTGTCACAGTCTTAAGGAGCAGCAAGCAGCCCACAGGAGCGCTTTAAGCCTAGAGGCCTGTTCTGTCTCCTGAAAGCCCTAGCCTGGGTTCCAGAGGTCTCCTCTCTGCTTATCCCTTTTTCTCTTCTCAGTACCCTGCCTGAAGATTCTCCTCAGCAAAGGCCTGGGGCTGGGCATTGTAGCTGGGTCACTTCTGGGTATGTATTTCCCCTTACTTTCCTGCTGTTGGGTTGGGGGTGGAGTACTAAAATGCCATAAATTGAATGTGTCCCTTAACCAGAAATGGCTTTAACATACTTCCTAGTAGCTGTTGTGTTGTGCTCCCAAGGGATATTGGTTCCTCAGCCATGCCATTCTCATCCTTTTCTCCAGTAAAACTGCCCCAGGTGTTCAAAATCCTTGGAGCCAAGAGTGCTGAAGGGCTGAGCCTCCAGTCAGTAATGCTGGAACTAGTGGCATTGACTGGGACCATGGTTTACAGCATCATCAACAAATTCCCCTTCAGGTGAGGGGTCTGCCCTTTATCCCCAAGGGTACATGCCCACAACTCTAGTGGGGTTAGGGTAAGGGAGGTAAAAGGACAAGAAGAGTTTAAACCCTTTTGGAAATCTAGTCATCATCTATGGAGGTGATGAGAGGAGATGAGCATTCCACAAATGCCCAGGATTCAGAGTGAGTTGATCAGAGATGGAGGTGGTGGTGCTGGAAGGCAGGAGGTAGGAACCAATAGGGCTGTGGAGGACAGGGAATAAGAGAATTGTATCCCCAGATGGATGGGCTACGGAGGCTTTTCCTGCCTCTTTCCAGGCCCGCCTTTCTTCCTCCCAACTCTTGACTCTGCAGCTCTTGGGGTGAAGCTCTATTCCTGATGCTCCAGACAGTCACCATCTGCTTCCTGGTCTTGCACTACAGAGGACAAACTGTGAAAGGTGCTGGGGATTTACCCAAGAGCAGGCTGTTAAGAGCCCTGCTAGCTGGAAATTCAGGCCTGGGGAAGCCAGAGGACTCCAGAGGTTGACGAGGACTCCTTTGTCTCCTTCAATCCTAGGTTTGGCTTTCCTAGTGGGTTACGTCCTGGTCCTGCTGGTGCTGCTTTCACCACTGACACCCCTGGCCATTATCACCCTACTCCAGGCCTCCAATATGCCTTCTGTGGTGGTGGGGAAGGTGGGTACTGGGAGCAAAGGAAACAGTGTTGGGAAGGGGAACTGGGGTGAGGGTCGGAGTGGGGAGCTCTGGGTGGGAGTGTTAGACTGAGGGGAATGGGGGGAATCTGATGGGAACATGGGAAGAATTCAGATAGAACAAAGGGTTTCAACTCCTGTTCTAGCTGCTCCAGGCAGCCACCAACTACCGCAACGGGCACACAGGCCAGCTCTCAGCCATCACAGTCTTTTTGCTCTTTGGGGGCTCCTTGGCCCGAATCTTCACCTCCATTCAGGTTAGTTCACCTTCTCCCCTCTAGGAGGCACTGAAACCACATCTTATCTCCCACCTGAGGAATTAAAGCTGCCTTGTCTCTGGAACCTTTTCTGGGGATTTTGCTGAAGAGTGATCCTAGCTCTGTTTTTCACATCTAGGAAACTAGAGATCCCCTCATGGCTGGAACCTTTGTGGTCTCTTCCCTCTGTAACGGCCTCATCGCTGCCCAGCTTCTCTTCTACTGGAATGCAAAGGCTCCTCACAAGAAGAAAAAGGAGTAGTAGGGCTGAGCTGGCTATTAGAGTTCATTCCATGTTTCTGTTCATCCACCTAACCTCTGGGTCCTTCTGAGCCCACCTACTGGTGTGACTTGTCCCCATTCCTCTGCAGATGCAACTTCTTGAGCCAGGGTTTGTGTTTAGTGGCAAGGCATAGTTGGTAGACCTAATCCTTAGAAAGGAAGTGGGGTAGAGATTTTCAGACTGACGTTTGATACTTATTGTGTGCTGTCCTGTGTATGCACTATTAACTCATTTAATCATTTGGCTGAGATTCTTTAGCAATTTCCAGCTACTTACCTATTCTGGGCCAAAGCCTTGCCCTGCCCTCCCACTTCCTTTTTGTCCTTAAGGGAACAGAGCCTGGACAGTGGAAAGGACTAGGGGCTTATGGCTGCCTCCCTCCCCAGCCTGGCAGGGACTGTCTCTTGGACCCCAGGTTTGGGGGGGAGGGAAAGGAGGGGATGGAGAATGACTCAACCAGGGCCCCAGGGTGGGGTGAGGAGGTTCCTGCTCTGGCAGGTCCAGGCGGAAGGGAGTGGAGATGGTGTTGGTTCCTGCTGCAGTGAGGGGGAACAGATGGGGCAATAAAGACACAGAGACATGGCTTAATTGTACAAAACCGTGTTCATCCTAAAAAAATAAAGTTGTGTTGCTCCCCCTGGCTTTGAGGGGTGGGGAGACCGCAGGCCTCCTTTAAACTGGTCCAACCATGCAAAAAAAAAGGGGTTGCAATTTGGGGGTAGGAGGTGGTTCTTCTAGGTGAAAAAGAGGTTGCAGTGCTTCCTGGGAGGTCCACAGCCATGATTGTTAGAGGTGGGCTAGGGGCATGGGGGCTCCTGAGAGGGGAGGGTTGTAGGCAGTGGGAGAGCCTGGGGTTAGGTAGGGGTTATAGGGGGGGAGCAACTCCCCCTGGAGCCTAGGGTTACTCTGATGGAGGGAGCATGTTGAGGCTTCTGATTTAGAGTGGGAAGAGCTGCAAAGAGAGAAACACTGGGGTTAGAGGGCACTTGCCTAGGTTGGAGGTGCCAGGTAGGGTTCCCAACATGCATTTAAGGGCAGACCTGATCAATTCTGGGCAGACAAGTAGAACCTACCCATTCCCGGCTATTTGGGCCCCACTAGGTACTGCAGGTCCGGAACTAGACCCTAGGCTGGCTCAGAGAGCCAGGCAGCCTTGTCGGGGCAGGCTCACCAGCGAGCTTGCGTGCTGTGCGCCTGTTTTCCTGTTTTGGGGCAGCAGGCCAGAAAGGGGCAGAGTTGGGCTTAGCCTCTCCTTGCCCTAAGGGCTGAGAGAGGAAGCCGGGTCACATCAGGGCCAGAAGCAGGTGGGGGTGGGGGACGACAGGAAATCTTGGTAGGTAGCTGGAACACGGTCAACATCTAGGGGGCTGTGGCTTGCCCCTGCAGGGCCACCTGCCAAGCTGAGATGGGAAAGCCCTCCAGGAACACCCTGGGCCACCGGAACCCTCCCAAAGGAGCAGGGAGTACAAGGAGTAGCCTCTGTTTTGGTGGATTCAGGCCCCTTCTCTTAGGCCCTCTGGTATCCACCCCACCTAGACTCCAGGAGGGAGGACACAGCTACTCTTTCCTCACTCCACTCCCCAGCCACTTACCTGTAACCACCAGGCAGGTAGGATATCGAGTAGTTGGGGGGCTGGTATCCAAAGCCTCTGCTCCCGTGGGTGGTCGAGTACCCGAGCCCCCAAACCGGTCCGCTGCCAGCCACACTGCCGCTTCCCTGGCCGAAGTGGGGCAGCCCAGCGCCTGCACTCTTGGTTTTGCGCCGTGGCCGGTACTTGTAATCGGGGTAGTCACGCAGGTGCCGGGCCCGCAGCCGTTTGGCTTCCTCCACGAAGGGCCGCTTTTCGTCCTCTCCCAGCAGCTTCCACTGTGCGCCCAGGCGCTTGGAGATCTCCGAGTTGTGCATCTTTGGGTTTTGCTGCGCCATCTGGCGGCGCTGAGCGGAGCTCCACACCATGAACGCGTTCATAGGTCGCTTCACCTTCTCCAAGGGAAGGCCCCCAGAGACCACAGGACTCTCAGCGTCCTCCCGCTTCTGGGAGACCGAGGACGAGGAGGCAGGGACGGTGGGAGCGGGAGGTTCCAGGCTCCAAGCCTGGTCTTGTGAGGGGCCGGGTAACGCCATGGGGATGGAGGAAAGCCTTAAGAGGGTGCCCACACTCCCTCTCTTCCAAAGCGAAATGTTGACCCCCAAACCTGGTATCCTTAAAATGGAAGTGTCTTCCTAGTATGGAGTCGTTTCAGAGAAGCTCGTGTCCATAAAAAGTATCTATCGTCCCCAAGTTCAGAGTCCTTACTCTGGAGCCCCTGCTTCCTACCAATCCTGCACGCTGTAGGAGATTGGAGTGCAAAATTTGTCGTCTGGTAACCGGTACAGGACAGATTGCTTTTTCCTTTCCTTGCGGTGCAGTACCAGACCCCAGCCCCGCTCCTCCTACCTGTGGCTGGCAGATCTCCGGTGGAAGCTGTAAACTTCCCGCTCAGTCTCTACCGTATTGTGGCTGCCGAGCAGTGCAGTCCGGGTACCACAACACTCTCACCTGGCTTCAGCGCCCGTCCGTGGCTGGAGGGGAAGCCAGGACCAGGAACAGCTTTTAACGACTAACTCCTCCCCACTCCCTCCCAGCAGACCACGCCTCCTTAAGAGTGCCAAGATCCCCCTTAGGCAGACCCAGGTATCCTGTTCTTCCCAGCCCCCAACGCCCCCTTAGGGCACCCCGCCTCCTCCCCACCCAAGACCCAGAAGTCAGGCCTTCCAGCCCCAGAAGCTCTGCACGTAGTCCCCTCCCTTCTTAAGCTTTGGCAATTTAAAGTCAATTCCTTTGCACAATGGGATCAAACACCCAGATCAAAAGCCCTCAGGGTCAGTTGTGCTAGGAAGAATTTGGGAATACCCCACACCCACCCCAAACCCTTTCCCTGTGCCCAGTGCCCCTCAAAACTCGACCTGTCCCTGGAGCAAGAAAGTTGGGCAGTTAGAGGAAGGCAGGCCATTCTTGTTGCCTGAGTCATCCCAGCAGGTGCTTGGGTGGTGATCCAATACCACTCCAGGTGAGAAAACTTAAAACCCTCCCAACTCCAGCCCCCAAACAAAGGTTTCTCCACACGTTTTATCTCCAAACTTCAGAGGCAGAGAGCCAGGAACCCCAGGACAACTCCCCTGGGGCTGAGATCAGTGATGTAGATACTAAGGGGGAAAAGCCCAAATCCAGACCAGGCAACCAGCAGGAATGAGGGCTGGACATCTAGGTCCCACTCTGCCCAAAACCCAGCCCAAGCCCCAGGCCTCTGGTAATCGGATTAAACCGCCAGCCTTGGCTCTTAGCAGGAACAGCTCCAGCTTGAAGCAGCCCTACCTATACAGGTGTGACTCAGGGTATAGGAGTGGCCCAGCTCCCTCCACCAGCAAACCTGGGGGAGGAGAAAAGCAGCAAGACACAAGCCACTCTCCTTACCCAGGAGGGTCTGGGGAACTTAAAAGACTGTCCAGAATTCCCAAAGTAAACCACATTGGGAACACTAGAGGAGCCAGGTGTGGAGAAACAAAACAAAGGCCAGGAACCAGGACAGGTCAATCTTAGGAAAACAGTTGGACCAAACTGGGCACAAGACACAGGAACCAGACAGCCATTTGGATTTTTTAATTCTCTTTTTAAATACTGTACAGTGAAAAATAAATACGCCTTCTCATCCACCAGGTAAGGTTGGTCCCCCTTCCCCTGTGGGACCTTGTCAACCCCCTTCATACACACCCCTGGTTCTACTCCAAAACCTTCCCCATGCCTCCCACCCACTTATACCCTTACTATCCCCGTCTTCCACAGTGATGAGGCCCCAGAAATCGGGGGTACAGGATGGGAGGAGGGATAGCAGGGGAACCCCCCTGAACTGTCAAATCAGTGGGTCAAGGAGCACCCCGCACCAACAGGCGGAGAATAGGGGTGTTTAGAGAGAGAATGGGGCATTAGAGGATAAAGGCACATCCAGTCTGATGGGGAAAGAGAGGCTCTCCTCACCCTGGGGGTAGGGTGGACAAGAGGGAGGTGGGTATGACCCTGTTACACATCCCTCCACTAGCTCCTGGAGGTTGGGGGGGGGACCCAAGCTCTGTGCCACCCCCCTCCCCCCTAGATAAGAGCAGCTCCAGCGCAGGTCAGTCGGGCCTGTGAGGGCCATGGTGTTGGGCAGCAAGCGAGATGGAGAAGGGAGGGATGCAGGCTGGAGGTTTTATGAAACCCCATTCACCAAACTACCCAACTCCAGGGGGGCAGAGAGCTCCCCATTCTCTGAGGGGCCCTTAGGAAGCTTGCTGACAGAGTCACCCTGAGGGGAAAGTGGGAAAGAAAATGGAGAGGAAGGAAAGAAGTGGTCAGTAGAAATTCAGATATTGACATTCCCTACCACCCAAGCACTCCTGGCATCTGGTGACCCAGGGGCTGGTCCCTGATCTGACTTTCTAGTCGCTCTCACTGTGATCCAGAAAATATGAACCAAACTTTCCTCTCTTCTGTTCAAGCTTTCCACTATTCTAAATGTAGTCTAAACTCCATCAGACATAGTCTCTGCAATCTAGCAAGAGATTTCTTCGGGAATTCTCTTGTGTCCCTTGCCCCAAAAGAACATAAAGGGGGGAAGGAATAAATTACATCTTGCCTGCCTACCTTCTGTCCTGAAAGAGAGTCCTCTGAGGGTTTAGTGCGTTCCAGGGTTGGCCGCTGGCGGCTCTGAGACTCTGCTCGGGAGATATAGTCAGCCACAGTCACTGGGGAAGGCAGAGGACCAACAGGTTCAGAAGAAACCCAGGTATCCAGCCCCTAGAACCTCAATCCCTGGTTTTCATGGGGTAGGAGGCATCCCATTATCTCAGCTTTTTTTTTTTTTTTTTTTAAAGTATTTTTCTTTGTTGGTTTTAGAGAGAGAGGAAGGGAGAGAGGGAAAATGGATATATCCATGAGAGAGAACACTGACTGGCCGCCTCCTGCATGCCCCCCCCCCCACTGGGGATTTGGCCCACAACCTGGGCATGTGCCCTGACTAGGAATCGAACCAGTGACCTCTTGGTACATGGGTCAACACTCAACCACTGAGCCACACCCACTCGGCGCATTCTCTCATCTCTTAAGGATGGCACCCAGTGTTAGCTGACCTGGCTGGCGGTCTCCACTGACAGAACCATCAGTACGGTTACCGCGGTTACGGCGGCGGCGGCTCCGATTACGACGCTGAGGTCTGCACTCATCTTCTGTGGGGCAGGGAAAAATTAGTCATGCATCCAATCTCCCACCCATCAGTTCTTGCCCAGCTCTAATTTTTTAGACACCCCTTACCCAGGCCATTTTCTGTCGTGCTAAGCCCATCGGATTCCAGGCCTCCATCCATGATAGTCCTGTCTTCATCAGTGCGGCGGCGGCGGGAGCGGCGGCGCCTGGCACTTGCTGGGGGAGGTTCCCCAGGCTCTGAATCAATTGGAGGCTCTGGTTCAGATGTGTCTAGTAGACTGTAGGGATTACTGTCTGGATCCTTTAGCACTGGTTAGAGGAAGAGGAAGAATTGGGAGTCAGGTGTCCACCAACATTCCCTGTGGCCTACATTCATGAACCCAGCTGTCTGGTACCAGTACCTGAGCTAATAGATGAAGAGTTGTATCTTGAGGTAGGCCGGGGGGCAGGTGGGGGTCCCCTACCCCGGCCCCCAATTGGCCGCCTCCGGCTTTCATCCCCCCGGGTTAGGGGATCCCGATCTCCTGGCCCAGCACGGATAGGCTCTTCCCTCTTCTCAGACTCAGTCTCAGAAGCTGTAGATGGGTCTGAGCTGGGCCCTAAAGAACATAGTGGAGTTCAATCAGGTCACTGCCTCCCACCCCAGGATCCATCACTGTCCCCAAACAGAGGACTTCTCTGTCTCATTCACAAGTCCCCCAGCCAACTGTCATCTCCATCATCCTTTCCTCAAGCTTCTACTCAGACCACTGCCTCTCCTCACAAACCACACCACTGTTCTCCCTTTCATAACTGTCTTACCATAGGCAGGACCACCTGTTCTCCGGCCCCGGCCCCGGCCCCCATAGCTGCCACCATAGGTTCGTGTGGTGTGCAGGGAGGAAGAGCTCTCATCGGTGGTATATCCAGCCTTGTCACTGCCGCCGCTACCCCGCCCACTGCCAGGGGGGCGAAAGCCCAGCCCAATCTGACGAAGCTGTTCATCAATTTGCAGCCTCTCCAAGCGAAGCTGCTCCACCTCCTGGTTGGGTAAAAGATGGAGGAAGATATGGAAAGAGGAATAAGTATAAGATCAATGAACAGTCTCCTTTCATGCTTCTCTGCCCTGACCATCCCTATATATCTAAACTCTCAGGAATGTAAGAAGAAAGACATTGGTTAAATAAAAAACATTCTGGGATCCAACCACATAGCCTCAAATTCCCACCCAGTGGTTTCTATTCTATTCAGAGACAAACTAGGCACAATTTCTAACTTGATCCACCAGCAGTCTTAGCCCCCTTGCTAGACCCGGATCTTTACTCTCCCAGGTTTCTAGCTTGAGTACCTGCAGGTAGGAGAGGTGATATTCCAGTAGAGCCTGAGCATTGCTGATATTCTCTCGGGTGCCAACAAATATGAAGGGAACCATTCCCTGGAGAATAGAGGGAAGGGCAGATGGATCAGGAGGAGAATCAAATGGGTATTAACTCCACCCTGTCTCCCATGGAAGCCCAACCAATGGGATCTTTCTTTTCTATTTTTTAATTAATTGATTTTTAGAGAGAGGAAGGGAGAGGGAGAAAAGGGGGAGGGGGAGCGAGAGAGAAACATCAATTTTGTTGTTCCAGTTATTTATGCATTCATTGGTTGATTCTTATATATGATATGCCCTGACCAGGGATCCAACCCATAACTTTGGCATACTGGGAGGATACTCTAACCAACTGAGCTACCTGGCCAGGGCCCAGTGGGATTTTTCTGGCTCTGCATCTAGGGGGAAACAAAAGTTCCGATGCTCTAACTCCTAGAAATCCCAGCACTCAGAGAATGGCTTCGTGACAATCCCATCTACTTCTGGACACCAATCTCTAGGAATAGTTGTCCATACCTCCTCCCTGGGGTTCTTCTTGTCATTATCACCTTCTACTCGAACCCTCACCACACCAGATTTATCCACAATCTCCTGGATCACTTTCCCGTTCTTTCCAATCACTTTGCCTGAATGGGTAAAGGAAGAATTAGACTTTCTTTTTTTAAGGAGAGAAAGAATAGACAAACAGTTAAGATAAAGTCTTTCAGCTTCTATATATAGATTCTGTTTAATTATTCTCCTGCCTCGGAGGCAGCCTGTCGATGTTCGCTCTCCTCATCGATGTTTCTCTCTCTCTCTCCCTCTCCCTTCCTTTCTCTCTAAAAATCAATAAAGAAAAAAAAATTATTCTCCTGCCTCTAGGTTCCTGTTGAGTTTTCAAGAACAAAATACTATTATAATCCCTAGAAATCTGTTCTTCCATTTTTGTCACTCCTACTACAGACTGTTCTGACGTTGTGAAACTAAAGTCCATAGGGAAGTGCCAAGCCCAGAATCACTTT